ACTTTTAATTTTAATATTTATATATTTTATATTTTATTTAATAAATATATTAAATAAATTAAAGAAAATCTAAATTATTCATTATACCAATATTAATAAACTAATAGAAGACAACTTATCTCGCTAATATTTTAAAAAAATATATGTGTTTTTTGAAAAATGAAAATAAGAATTGTTTCTTTTTACTAAAAAAATATTATCTTTTAAAAAATATATTATATTGGTTCAAAAGCTTTTATTTGACGTATAAATATATTAAATTAATTAGATTTTTTTGAATTATATATTATAACAATATTAAAAAAATAGTAGAACACAATTTATTTCGTTAACATTTTAGAGATAACTTTAAAAAATATGTATTTTTTTTAACAACATAAAATAAGAAATGTTACCTTTTTTACAAACAAAATGTATCTAAAAAATAATGTAACATATTTATTTAAGAAATATTTTACTCTAGAATATTTAATTTGCATCCAACTTAATAAGAAAACGTCAAAAAAAATAAAATATTTTTTTAAATAATAGTAATGAAAAATAAAAATCACTAATAATAATTTTAAATAGATTTTTATTTTTATTTTAATTAAGTCTTCAAACTGATGTGTCATCCACATCACCTCATTAAAACCACACAAGCCAAAAAAAAATCAATGGATTAATCGGTTTAAAATGTAACATGTTACCCATTGTTATAATGGTTAACAAATTTAAAATGAAATGTGTTAACAAAAAATAATTTAAAACTACATTTGCTGTAATAAAAAAAATTAGAATCCTATAATAAAAAATTCATGACAGTGACTCTTTTTGAATCCCAGCAGCAACATAATAAGGCCCAACAATATAATCTGACAATTTGCATTAGAGCAACAAAACCAGCCCAGCTACAGCACTCAGGTATGGTTGACTTGATTAGAAATTTAGAATCACATTTTACCAAAACGAAGACACTAAAAATTACCTGCTGTAACTTGTTCATGAAATTATCATCTTCTTCCCTTCCCAATATTAATATTGCATTGCATTGCATGGTTATAAGAGAACATACCAAGCTATCTTAAAAAATAAAATGCGAATGAAGCAAAACACTAGGAAACGGGTGACGTGTGATCGAGAACGAATTTTACACAGACGGATCAAAGAGGTTTAAGTTTGAACGAACATGCGGATCGAGGGGTAAGAACTGAACAGTGTGGCTTTGGTAGCCAAACGAATTGAAGGAGTAATTAAGAAGAACAGCGGTGAACTGCCATGGTGTTTGAGTCAGAGAGAAAAGTAAACACATCAATCAACCCAGGCTTAACAACATATCTCAAAAGTAAATTGTAAACTAAAATCAGAGATCTAAAAATGTGCACATGATATCAATCCATATAAAACTGAAATTACAAGATCTAACATGATGATGTCGATCCACTGTAAACTGAAAATCCGAAATGTATATTACTGATGATATCAATCGAAAATGTATTGTAAAGTGAAAACATACGACATACCTATGATCCATGAGTAAACACCAATCGAGTAAACAAAAACGGAGATGTACATGTAATACCGATCATGAGATGCATCTATCGTCGATATACTGATCACAGAGATCTTATTATCAATCCAAACTAAAAAACAGAAATGTAAATGTACGTAATACCTAGTATTCGCATCATGTACTCATCACTTAGGATCTGCACTGGTGGATTTGGAGGTTGCATTGGTACCGGAGCTCGAAGCCAGAGTCACAGCTGAAGAGGAGGTAGAGGTTGCATCAATACCGGATCTAGGAGCTAGATCCACTGCTGAAGAAGAGACATCACCGGATCTAGAAGGCATCACCGGAGCCAGAGCAGGCCTGGACGAGGCAACACCGGAGCTAGGAGACGATGGTTCAGACGAAGAGCAAGTGGAGGAGACGGTGGTTGGTTGAGCCCGTGCACCGCTTGCAGCCTCTGCATTCCTTCTACGCTTCATTTCTTCCAATTTTGCAGCGCATTCCTTCTATGTGTGTGTGTGTTGTGGAGGTTCAAACGAGAACACCTCAATTTTACGAGAATGGAAGAACACCCTTATCACATGTGATAATACGCGTGAGGGGACCTTGTGATGCGCAGACGACGTGTTCTATGACTTAGGCCACGCCAAAGGTTGTCTGTGTCTATGATTTAGCATCACATGTGATAGTTTTGATGAATTATAGTATCATATCAACAACACCTTTATCACATGTGATAATATTTGTGAGAGGGCTTAGTGGTGTAAGGGCGACTTGGCCCGCAACTAAGATCGCATCGAAAATTGCCCTCGTCTATGATTTAGTATCACATGATGTGTATCATATGTGATGAAACAATAATATCACATGTGATTGTCTATAGTAAATGAATATTCTCGTGTTCTCGTAAAATGAAGATGTTCTCGTTTGAACCCCTCCATATATATATATATATATATATATATATATAGAGAGAGAGAGAGAGAGAGAGAGAGATGAAGTTTACTTTGCAAACCACAT